CTCGATTACCTGAAGTTAAATGGCGGTACATTCCATCCGCGGATAACCCAGCCGATTGTGCTTCGAGAGGTATTCTACATTCTGATTTCAACGCCTTTAACCTGTGGTGGCACGGTCCTCCCTGGCTCAAACTAACTCCGACCAAATGGCCAAGAGATCCCGCTCCTCCACTGGAAGAAGCGCCTGAGGAGAATCGGAAACTTATAGTACACGTAGCTCAAACAGATTCTGGCTGGGATTTAGCCACAAGATACTCCACGTGGCCGAAGCTAATCAGAATTACAGCATATACTATCCGCTTCGCAACCAGATGCCGAAAGAGAGATCAAACTTCAACTGACTCAGAGGTGCAACGCCAATCTTTGACGGCAAGTGAATTTCAGACCGAACGCAAATTTTGGATTAGATCAATCCAGTCAGACGTCTTCAGTGACGAATTGGACGCTCTCAAGAGACAACAAGCACTTCCATCAAAATCGGCGTTAGCTATGCGTACTATCCATCGAGATCGAGTCTTCGGCTAACGGTTCTCCGAGCGACAACTGAGATTCACGCAGCCACAATTCAAGACGTGAATGCGTCAAAGCGGAAGCATGTAAATATGTAAATACACCGATGTACATATGTATATACTAATAATTTGTAATAATGTAAATATGTAAATCTGCGTTCCTGTAAATATGTACATATGTACTCATAAACCTGTAAAATCGCTCCGATGCGATATCAGTCGCTCACGGCGGGCGGCATCCGATAACTCTTTACTTTCGAAATTATAATTTCGAGGCGGGCGGTATGTTTAGGATTTGCCCTAAATCGCGCATAAAATTATTACCCCCGGTCATACTAGCGCCATCCGTTTGCGCGCTATCGAACCCGCGTTCACGTACGCCGTTACTGTTTTTCAAAAATCATCCAGGATCCGCGTGATCACGCGAAATAATCCACGGTCCTGGCCAATAAACAGGCTTATATATCACGCGATCTGACGTAATGATCAGGGATACGTCGAGGTCCGATCATACGATCCGTAATCAAATCTTTATCTATCGGGAGAAAGGCTTTCTCCCCGAGAGTCTTCCGTTTTCCATCATAGTGATCAGCGTCATACGGAGAGTAAAAATAGTGCAAATTCGAGAGTTCGCGATAATCTTAACGAGCAAAGTTAAGATTCGTTTCATTAGTCTCACGCGTGTGAAATCCTTAAACCGCGATCCTCAATCATTGTAACAGTTTCGCGAAGTAACATTGTGCGCGCCAGTAATCGTGTCCGCAGTGCACGTGAACAGTTCAAACGCGAGTGCCGGGATCTTTCGGAGCGCCTCCACTCTCAGCCAGAGGCGGAGCCTTCGTCGTACCGCAACTCCGTTCAAGCGAACTGGGCGTCTCGCTCGCTCTCACGCGAACGGCCGATAGAGCGCCGTCTCGCTCGCTCTCACGCGAACGGCTGATAGATCGCCGTCTCGCTCGCTCTCACGCGAACGGCCGATAGAGCGCCGTCTCGCTCACTCTCCCGCGAGCCGTGAACAGTGCGGTTTCGCGTATGCATAGATAGCCACAAGTCAGCTATCTATCTCAAAATTGGGCGAACCGACGTGTATAGTGCGGTCTCGCTCGAACTCTAGTACGAACGGCATAACGCCGTCTCTCTCGCATTCGTGGCGAACCGATGTGTATAGTGCGGTCTCGCTCGAACTCTAGTACGAACGGCATAACGCCGTCTCTCTCGCATTCATGGCAAGCCGTGAACAGTGCGGTTTCGCGTATTCATAGATAGCCACAAGTCAGCTATCTATCTCAAAATTGGGCGAACCGACGTGTATAGTGCGGTCTCGCTTGAACTTTAGTACGAGCTGCATAACGCCGTCTCTCTCACATTCGCGGCGAGTCGTGTATAGTGCGGTCTCGCTCGAACTCTAGTACGAGCGGCATAACGCCGTCTCTCTCGCATTCGTGGCGAACCGACGTGTATAGTGCGGTCTCGCTCGAACTCTAGTACGAACGGCATAACGCCGTCTCTCTCGCATTCGTGGCGAGTCGTGTATAGTGCGGTCTCGCTCGAACTCTAGGACGAACGGCATAACGCCGTCTCTCTCGCATTCGTGGCGAGTCGTGTATAGTGCGGTCTCGCTCGGACTCTAGTACGAGCGGCATAACGCCGTCTCTCTCGCATTTGTGTCAAGTCGTGAACAGTGCGGTTCGCGTATTCGCAGATAGCAATATTCATTCTATCTATATCGGACCAGCGGACTGACGTGTATAGTGCGGTCTCGCTCAAACTCTTATCCGAGCGGCATAACGCCGTCTCGCTCGCTCTCACGCGAACGGCCGATATAGCGCCGTCTCGCTCGCTCTCACGCGAACGGCCGATATAGCGCCGTCTCACTCGCTCTCACGCGAACGGCCGATATAGCGCCGTCTCGCTCGCTCTCACGCGAACGGCTGATAAAGCGCCGTCTCGCTCGTTCTCACGCGAACGGCTGATAGAGCGCCGTCTCGCTCGCTCTCAAGCGAACGGCCGATATAGCGCCGTCTCGCTCGATCTCGCTAACAGCTGATCGATAGCTGTCTCGCTCGCTCTCACGCGATCCGCGTAGTGGTGCGCTCTCACCCTACATCGCGTCTTGAGACCAGCAAACGTGTATCATTTTGTGACTTTAACAATAAACGGACAGTAATTCGCTCACCGGTCTTACTGTAACACATTAAGTCGCAACTGCAGATCATTTCATTCCTATCAAGTATTCCTTACGCGATCACGCACTGAGAGAGCTTGCGATACCCCCGCGGGTATGTGCCGGCAAAGTTCAATCGCGCTTACCCGGTCTTACAAAATTCGCGAATCGAAAGCGCGATCCCGAACAATAATAATAATTATAATTATTCTTTCATGTTTATGTTAAATATTATTTATTAAAATTAATGCTTTTTCATTTTCAATTTCATCCTTATGTTATATATTATTTATTAAAATTAATGTTTTTTCATTTTCAAATTCAAGTTTATATTAAATATTATTATTTAAATTATTGTTTTTTCATTTTCAAATTTTTCTTTATGTTAAATATTATTTAAAATTAAAATATACTTATTCAAAATATTCTTATTATCAATTAAAATATACTTATTTTTCAAATGTAGAACTACGTTCAATTATATGTGCATACGTATATACAAGATCACAAGTGATGTATGTGATTTATGTCGATTGTTGTGAACAAATAATCTAGTTGTTTATTGTTCAATATAACTTATACAAATAGAGAGAGAGAGAGATGGAGATGGAGATGGAACATCTTCTATCGTAATATCCTGGAACTAATTTGTTGCTATTTTTTACTCCACTTTACCTACACTCACGCATACATACACACGAATCGTTCTACATACTATACTTTTATATTTAACTTCTAATTTCGATTTCAAAGGTTCAACAATGTTTTTTCGTATAATTCGATCCAAGCAAACTTGTTTTTACGTTCATACAAACTATATAGCTTTTATATGAAGTACATATTATGACGAGTTGACAGTTCGTCTACAATTCGAGACGCCATATTAGGATAAAATGGATAAGGAAAACTGTAATTTTATAATTATTTCTCGTTTTTCATATAAAATCGGAGTTTCCTAGGATTATTTATGTATGTATTGCAATCCTACATAAATATTTTCAATTCTGTCAAATTATTGCGACAAAAGACCAGAACTACGAAAATGGTAATTTTGTCGATAATACAGTCGAGTACAGCATCCCCTTAAACGGGCATGTTTTTGTAAGACCGTTTATTTACGTCGTTCCCGAGAGCATTAAGAAGTAGCTCTTCGCACTCCGTATCGGTTCGCAGGTCGTTCCCTAAGAGATATTCGAGTGGATCGCTTAAAATGGGTCCACTCCGTATATAATAGTCGTACATTTCAATCGTATATGTTTAACAATGGTGCATCGTAATCGTCGTGTCGCATCCATCGTCAATAGTCGCGCGATCAGCAAGGAGGGAGGAGAACTCGAAGACCCTCCGCGTTCTCTCGGAACATAAGGTTCGCCGACTACTTCAAGTTCCTCCCCCGCAAGCTCGCGTATAGGCCGTGCAATTACTTCATTATGTTAAACTAAGCGTTATACTAAGCGTTATGCTAAGCGTTATACTAAGCGTTATATTAAACGTTATAACTCTGTCGGCATTTATACAAACACCTCGTAAAGCGATACGCTATATTCACCTCCTCCTCCTTGTTCTCCGACAAGTATCGCGAGAATAATATACACGCGCGTATCGCGTGCTTCGATATCGCGTCGAATGGTTCGATTTTATGTCCAAACAAACGTGTGTAAAAAGAAGCAGAAGACACGACAAGGCGCGCGTCTAAGCGATATCTTTGTAAATCGTAGATCGCGCGTATTTTTTTTTTGTACGAATGAGGAATAATTTTTTGTACGAATAAAAAAAAAATCATTTTTTTATACGAATAAAGAGTCGTTTCTTTTCGATCGCCTCTCTAGCTCGTCCTAGAGTATCCTTCCTATCCCTTTTCTATTTTTTGTCATCGTTGTGTTTCTTTTTTTTAAAAAAAAAAAGTTCGCTCTCTCGATCATCCTTCTCGCGCGTCCGAGCGTACGTACCCTCCCCTCCCCTCGCCTCCTCCTTCTCCCTCGTACTCGCATTCCGGCGGAGAACGACGACGCATCGCCGAAGGACGCGCGCGCGATAGTTCGCCACCGTCCCGACCCCCGCGCGTCTCGCACGAGCCATGACGCGCGTCGCGTTATCGCTCGCGCTGACGATATCCCTGCTCGCGGCCGTCGCGGCGACGTCGACCCACGATGACGTCGCGGAGGCGTCCCGTTATCTTCGAACCTACGGCTTTCTGGAGAGGAGAATCATCAGCAGTCGTCGCTACTGGACAACGCGACCGCCCTGAGCGAGGCGCTGTCGTTGTTTCAGGAATACTACGGTCTGCCGGGAAACGGCGTTCTGACCGTGGAAACGATTCGCGTCATGCGCAGGCCGCGATGCGGCGTCGCCGACATTCGCGCCTACAGCCCGTTGACGAGAAAGTGGCCGAGGGCGCATCTCACGTGGAACTTCAAACTAGCGAACAGAGATACTCTGCGCACGACTCAGAGCGCGTTCTCTCTGTGGTCCGAGCAATCCGCTCTGACGTTCTCGCGCGACTCGCTGCGCCCCGATATACTGATATCCTATCAATCCGGCGCTCACGCGTACGAAAACAGCGACAACGGGGGCTCGTGCCCGTCGCCGTTCGCGGGACCGGGATCGGTCGTCGCTCACGCGTTCTTTCCGACGGGAGAGCCCGATCAGGTGATCGAGGTGCACGTCGACGAGACGGAGCCGTGGCACATCACGCTGACCAAGCCCTCGTCGGACAGGCTGTATCTCCTTCAGACGCTGACGCACGAGATCGGTCACACTCTGGGTCTGACTCACAGTACGAGGGATGACTCGGTCATGTACGCGTACACGCCTTCGGAGGAAAGGCGATATCCGCTAAGGCTGAGCGTAGAGGACGTCGTAAACGTGCGAAATCTCTACGGATCGAGAGAGACGACGACTCCTAGGATCGTCGACGTCACTCGTCCGACGACCGCGGCGACGACCGCGACGACGACGACGAGAACGACGACGACGACGGCCTCGAGGACGACGACGGCGGCCGCGGCTCAGCCGACGACCGCGAGAACGGTCGAGCCGCCGCTCGTTCCCTCCGATACCACGGATCTATGCGCCTTGAAGCGCGTAGACGGAGCGCTAATCATGAATCGTCGCCTGTACGTCGCGCGTAAACGCAACGTGTGGCTCGTCGATATGAGGGAGAGACGCTACGGAGCGCCCTTCTCGTTCGCCGACTACTTTAAATTCCTCCCCCGCAATCTCACTCGCGTATCGGCCGTGTATCAGAGACCGTCGGGCGATATCGCGATATTCGTCGGCGACTACGTCTACCTCGCCGATTCGAATTTTCATCTTAAAGCGGGATGGCCTAGATCCGTCGAATACGACGGATTTCCCCGCGACGCTAGGATAAACGCCGCGATAAACACGCACGCCGGACGCAGTTACGTCATATACAACGACGATAAGATAGCCGAGATGAACGACTGCGCGATGACCGTCGCGAGGCACGGCGCTCTGCGGGACACGTTTTCCGGGATACCACCCGCGATAACGGCCGCCTTCCGTCACGTCGACGGTAATCTCTATTTTCTGAAGAAACGCGACTATTACGCGTACAGCGAGTTCCTCGACGCGATAATCTCGGCCGGTCCCTTCGATCTTAGCATACTGGGAATAGAATGCCCAGCCGATGGCATTCTGCATCGATTGAGCGAACTCGTCTCCAAGCTGTATCGCCTGGAATACGCGTCCTTCGAAAGACCGCGCAACGGCGACGACGATGACGATGACTAAGATCAGGAAATCCTGAAACCTAACGTTAAGATTACATTTAATATGCTGTTCTAAACCGCTGTTCTAAACCGCTTCCGCTGCATTAATTAACGCGCGCGTCGAGAATAAAGATTTCGCGACGACGATCGAGATCGCATCGTAAGTATATAAGACGCGTCTCGATCGTTGCGCGCGACATTTCCAACGGTACTCGCGATTAACGCGCGTTCGATTCTCAACGGACGTCTACGACGAATCTCTCTACGACGCCGTCGCCACCGCAGTGTCTTCCTACGAACATCGAAGCCCTGTTCGCGAGACCGATCATGTTCGCCGGACTAGGAGTACCGCAGAGTGTTCGGGGACTCGTCCGCGACGCCCGCGACTCCGTCGGCGCCGCCGATGACGGGCCCCTTCGTCGTCCCGTCTAATCGTCGAGACGATTACGCGGCTTCCGCCAAGGACGAGGATACCACCCGCGATCGTTCTGACACTCCGCCCGTGATCAAGAAAGCACGACTGTACACCGAGGACGAGTGAGTACGCGCGAGTCACCTCGCCCGAGCGCTCTCGATCTCCGCCTCGATCGGCTATTTTCGCGTAATAACGTCGTCTTTTTTTTTTACAGATGGAATAGAAACTGGCTGTTCAAACGCGAGATCAATTTCGCGAGACATCCGATTCGAATACTAGGAAGACGATATCCTCTGACCAAAACGGCGTACAAATATATCGACATCGCCGTAGCCGTGAAGCGCGAATCTCGAGTCGACATCGTCCTAGGAGACTGCCACGGAAAGGAGATATCTCTGACGCCCGACATGTGGAAGGATTTGCTCGCTCTGCGCAACGATATACTGCCGTATTTCGAGAACGAATTGGACGAGGCTGTCGCGCGCCCTCCGACGTCCATAATCGTCGGAACCGTGACGCTTCGATTCGGCAAGATAAACAATCTGAAGACTCTGCGATTCGAGACGCCGAAGAATCGCATCGCTCTGTCGCAATCCACCGTGAAGGCGCTGTTCGTTCTCGAGCTGTGCGTCAATCGCATCATCGCGTCGTTGACCGGCGTACTCGAGATCGTGGACGCCAAGTTATCGCGTTTTCTAGATATCGCGACGGAGACCGATCACCCCGGCGATATTCCCGAAGCGATTCGCCGGCACGAGCACTTCAACGCGAACGATCTGATCGACTGCGAGTTGCACGCTCTGCTGTTCGGACTCTATCACAATTTGTAAGGCGAAACGATCGCGAGTACCGATGTTATTCTCGACGTACGCATGTATCTACGCGATATAATAAATAAACGAATAACTAAATAAATAAATTGTACGCGTAATTTATTATCTCTCTCCTAGATTTACGTCGCCCTCGTCTCTTCTCGCTTCACAAAGAATTCCCTCCTCCTCCTCCTGCTTGAAATAAATCTAATATACATCGTACATTATACATCGTACATTATACATCGTATAAAATAATATTTTGTATAAAATCGTACGTTATATAAATCTTACGTCGTATCTCTTCCAGGCCTGCGTCGAATACATCCGCTCTATTATCAACGCCGACCTTATCGCGCGCGACGCGCCCGACGCCAGGGCGATCGCCGCTTATCGCGCGCGCCTAGCGCGCCGCGTCCAGAGACGCTCCGACGCGCCGTAACCAGGGACGCGCGCCCGCCGTAACCAGGGACGCGCGCTCTCTCCCCCCTCTCCCTCGCTCTCGCGCCGAACCGCGCTCCGCCCCCGCCGCCCCCTCGCCCTACCCTCCGCGTGACGTCGCGACCCGCCGTCCGCTCCCCCCTCGCCCCGCCGCCCCCTCGCCCACCCCCGCCGCGTGACGTCGCGACCCTCCGTTTACCCACCCGACGGCGAGCGGCTCCCCTCGCCCTACCTACCCCCCCTGCTCACCCGCGCCGCCGTCACCCTGCCCCTTGGATATCTTTCTATCTCTCTCGCTCTACGAGACCTCTCTCTCGCACCCGTGGAAAAAGTGGGTTAGAATCGACCTATTCTCCCTACTGATATTCGATCATTGCTCGTAAGAAGAAAGGGCTGCTGGAGACTCCAAAAATTACTCGCCCATGTCTGTATACTTCTATTTCTTCTGGACGAGTCTTCTTCCACTAAAGAAACCGCAATACGTCTCTATCGTCAGATGAAACACTTATTTGCAAAAAGCACTCCAAATGTCTGCAGTTATTCCTATCTTTCGTTGTCTAAAACGTAGTAGAATTCTCGGAATTTGTTCAATCAAATTAGGACCTGTTTCGAGATAATGATTCAGTGACGGTGGAGTTTTCCAAGAAGTGATGCGTCAAATACAGGCCTTATTTTCGTAGTACTATTTTCTTTGATCACATTTCTATGAGGTAGATAGTAGGCATTGTAGTTTACTTCATCCTCCGGAACCTTTTCAATAATGCCTTTGGACAACTATTTTTCAAAAATTTGTTGGTACGTATCATAAAGATTTTAAGCCTTAAGTCTTTTAGTAGTAGACTCAAGTCGTTTTATAGCCGATCCTTTATTTTCTATCAGTGGTAAGTAATCTTCCTTCCAAGAAAGAAATATTTCATATCGACCTTCTTCATTCATCTCAATGGTATGCTGAAAATTCTCTTTAACTTTTGCTTGGTGTGCATCATCTCTTTTTCAAGCTAGGATCCATAATACCCAGCGTATCCAGCTTCCACAAGTCGACAATGTTTTCCTGACATGTAAACTGCGACACATTTGCCCATTTCGAGAACGCCGATCCCGAGGGGTAGCGTGCAAGTTTGGCGGTTACGGTAGCTGACGGTATTGGGTTTTAAAACGGTATCTCCAAAAAAACGGTAACTTGTCAATCTCCTGGAAAGAGAGTGAATTTGGGCGCCAGGCGCGGTAATTCCGCGCCACGATATTGGTATGGTAACGGTAATGTCCGGGCTCAGTGTGCCGAGGGGCAGGATTCTTGTGTTTTATAGAGAGAGAACGCTAGAGGATAATCGGGAGAGAGAAATAATCGACGCTCAATATTATGTTAGTTACACAGACTTAAGTTATATTAAATTATGATATACAGAGACAAGAGCAATATAATAGATAATTCAGAATATAAGAAAATTCAGGTAGTAGATGAATCAGTACAATAGGTCGATATATCCGAAAATTCATATAAGAGTCAAATTAATATAGCAGATAATTCAAAACATCAGAAAATTCATATAAGAGACAAATTAATATAATAGACAATTCAAAATATCAGAAAATTCATATAAGATACAAATTAATATAATAGACAATTCAAAATATCAGAAAATTCATATAAGAGACAAATTAATATAATAGACAATTCAAAATATCAGATAAGTCCGACAAATAGATAATTCGCTATATAAGAAAGAAACAGATAAGTCTCAGCATCTAAATAATCGGTAACATAAGTTTGAACAACAATGAAATTCAAATCGGTAACGGCTGACGCGAAGGTTAAATATAACAATAACGGGACACTCTATTCAGAATAGAAAACTATAATCCACACAAAGAGCGATACCGAAACAAATATAACTCAAAAATCATAACAGGAACAGAAAATCAAATAAATGATTAGCGGTTCGGTAATCTATAATACCCGCGGACTAGCCCGATTTCCGAACATACAGAGAGGCACGGGCCTCGCCAACGAATTCAGTATAAATTGGATTAATTTTTCCCTACAAAATTGCCGGTAATCAACGGTAAAGAAAGATTTACGATCAGACTCTGGTAACGCGTATACTTTCGGAACACCCTTGGAGGCACAAGCCTCACGAAGAATTTCGATATATCTCGAAGTATCTTTTACATAAATTTTTGACGGTAGCTTAAAATAACGGTATCCGAAAGTAATTAATTACAGATAAAGGAGACTCAAGAATTATAATTACGGTAGATTTTAACAGTAAACGTATCCTGAAAAATTTCGATATAAATCGAATCTAAAATTTTTCCTCGCGATAATCGGTAACAAGATCTCACAATATTTTCGGCAATTCTTATCGGCAATTCCTAATCTCAAGGATGACAATGCTAATATGGTTACTCGATAATATGGTTACTCGATTTAAGGCTCCGGAGTAGTCACCGCGGCCATCTTGAAATCGTAACGTCATAAGCGAGAAAGGACACCCAGATTTATATTGCGACTGACATCTAAATAAAAACATATTTGAATGAAATAAGATTACCAATCTCTTCAGCACACCTGTAAATGGACGGATACTAATCTTTTCCTTTGACACTTTATAAATAGCCGTAAATTGAGTCCAAAATGAAGCCTTGAAAATGCGAAAAAACACGATTTGACAGCTGTCGAAAGGAGAGGAAAATGTTACTTTCTAAAGTTTGTTCCTTATACAGCTTAGTATCCGTCCATTTTTACAAGTTTTCTTAATACATTGCATACCACAACACTAGCACAAAGCAAATAATTATGAAATGGGACGCAACGTAAATTGGGCTGTCATTTCTCGCTTACGAGGCCATTTTTCATGCCTTATAGTTCACCGATTTATAACAGTGAGGCGCTGCATGAGAATTTTGACATGTAGGTAACGTGTGGGTAATATGTCGATACCATGTAGGTAACGTAGAAATATTTAGACATAATGACCCTTGAAAAATGGCAACCAAAAAGAAATAGGAATAGGGAAGAATATAGGAAAGAGAGAAAAGATATTATTTATTATAATAAAAAAATTAATATTCAAATCTTCATGTTTATATTATTTTATTAATATTATTATTTTTTAATACATATATATTATTATTTATTATTATATATATTTTTTTTAATTTTTTTATATTATTATATTATTTTATTTTATACTTTTTATATTATTTTTATATTATATTTTTTTATAGTTTTCAACGATAGTTAAAAAATGAAACTGGCCCAGAGCCAGATTCTCGTCCTCTCCATCCTCCTCTTCTCCTCTCCATCCTCCTCTTCCTCCTCTCCATCTTCCACCTCTCCATCCTCCTCTCCAGACTCCTGTATCGTCTCTTCTCCAGTTTCCTCTCCATCCTCCTCTCCATCCTCCTCTCTTCGCTCTTGTTGAATAATACCTAATGAACACAGAAAACGTAGCAATTAACAATTAAATTAATGTACAAAATAGAAATAATTTTAAAACTTTTATATATATTTAAAAATACATACTTTTTATTTCTCTCCTTTAATGTAGTTCCTCCTCTTTTCTTCTTCTTTTCCTTCTCTTTTCTTTCATTTTCTTCGTCAGTTGCTTCTTCTTCTACACTCATCTCACTTTCTCTGTCCTCATCCTTTCTTCTTTCTTCTTTTCTTAATCTTTTTCCAATCTGCAAATTCAATCATGTCGTTTATTAAATGTTTTATTTACAGGACTTTAATTTAAAGAATACTCTAACAAAAAAAAGAAAATAATCTAAAAAGAAACAATACATGTTATATATATATATATATATATATATATATATATTTATATAACATGTATTGTTTTCTGTTTAGATTCTTTTATATATATACACACACACATATACGTGTTGTGCAAAGTATTTTATTTTCAGCACTGAGGTAAGGTACAGGTACAGGTACTTGGAAAAAATGTACCGAGGCAGAGGTA